GAGGTGCGCGCCGATGACGACTGGCTGCAGCGTACTGCACGGCACACTGCCGGGTACTCCAGCGCCGCGGCGCGAAAGTCAAAGTAATGCTCGAACGGCCATCTCGCGCGCCTCGCGCAGCCTCGCGCCTCCAGGCGCGATTTTAGCGCCGCCGAACACGCCGGGCCTTATGGTGTAGTGAGCGCGCGCCGCGGTTCCGAAGAAACGGACTCTGTGTGTGTTTGTGTGTGTGTGTGTGTGTGTGTGTGTGTGTGTGTGTGTGTGAGAGAGAGAGAGAGACGGAGTGAGTGAACACTCCATCCTCGTTCCTCTCCGGCTGCCATCTATCTCCGTCCGTTTTGGCGTTGCTGCGTTGCTCCAGCGCTATCGCGGTGTACTGTACGAGTACGCGCTCACACACACACAAACACACACACAGACACAGACGCACGTGCGCTCGGGGCGCGGGGCAACCGGTGGAACTTGTGTGTTATTCCAGGAAAGAGCAGTAAGTTGGCGGCGCCTTATCTCGTACAGTGCAACCTTTTGGCAGCGCGGCGCTTCTTACCAAAGGTTCTTGTGCCTTTTTCTCTCTCTTGTTTTCCTTGTTTTTTTTGCGGTGGAGTGTGTGGGTGAACGGGGCTGGCTGCCTTGCCGCCACTTTACCTTTCCCATCACGGGCCGCCAAAGGAACCCGAACCCGGCCGACTACCCGAACCAACAGAGGCTTGCTCACCGTGTGCTCACTGGGTCACGCAACCCCACGCCGGCCCGCGCTCTGCTGCCTCGCACCCACACTGTGCAAACCGTCTTGTTTGCGCCGAATTTCACCCTTTTGTCATGCCGAGTGCCGCTGCAGACTGCAGTGTGTGTGGACGGTGAAAGCCGATGGCGTAGCGATCGGGTGACGCGACACGCGAGATGGTCGCGACGCGTGGTCCGCTGGCCATGCGATAGGCCGTGCCGAGCCAAGCCAAGCCGAGCCGAGCCAAGCAGACCGGCCAGCGAGTGCAGAGTGCATGCAGCCGGCCCTAGTTATTCGGGCCGACAGGTGACATTTCGCTGGCGCCTTCTCTCTCTCTCTCTCTCTCTCTCTCTCTCTCTCTCTCTCTCTCTCTCTCTCTCCGCTGTAAACGGGAGAAAGCGCGTGCATCGCGACGCAACGACGCCGTATTCCATTCACGCGGTAAAGGCGCTGACTGTGATTGTGATGATGGCTCTGTCTCTCTCTCCCTCCCTCGGTGAGTGCGACAGAGACAATAGCACTGGTGGCGGTACTGCGTTCCCCCGGAAGTGCCCTGGAGGGCCTGCCAGGGGGTCCAGGAGTGCGATGATCACGGCGTGGCCCCGGAGCACGGTGGGCGGAGGCAGCCAAAACAAGACGCGGGCGTGGAGCCCCTGCCGTGTAGGCAACCAGAATGCAGGCGTGCGTCGGCGCTGCCTACCCGCACGGCGCTCGGCCGGCTTGCATGCCGTGCCGTTCGTGTTCCGTGCATCCGTGCAGTGCGTGCTTGGCGTTCCACAAACCTGATTCCCCCTCCCCCTCCCCGGCGAGCGTGTCACTGTGGACACGGGGCAGCGCGGCGCAACGAGTCTCGAGTGGTATTGACCAGCTCTCGTTCCGTGTGCGAGAGTGCGAGTGTTCGCTCCAGTGCACCGCCACCACCACTTCATCACTTTCCCGAGCCAGCCTGGCCCAGCCCCAATGCTGCTGCGTCGGCCGGTCTGCCGACAACGCGACGCGGGGACGCGCCAATCCCATGTTTATTTCTTTTGCCTCCAATCGACGAGGCGGCGCACAGTGGGCCAGCGACCGGTGGAGGCGGCCAAAACTCCATCGGTCTTCTGACCCACTGTGCGGCGCGGCGGCACAGTGCACTGCACAACGGCACATTGCGGCGCGGCGCTGCTGCATTGTACTGGACGCGCGGACGCCCCATAAACGCCAGTTGTAATGTAAGGTAAACGGAGGGAGGGGGTGGGCCGGGCAATTACACATGCAACTCCTGTCTGTCTGTCCGTCCGTCCGCCCGCCTCCTCTATTCCCCTTTTCCTGTGCGTTCTCTGTGTTCCGCCCCCTCCCTACTTTTGCGCGCACGACTCGTGCGCGCTCTTTCATTCGTTGTCCTTGACTGTGTGTGTGTGTGTGTGTGTGTGTGTGTGCAATCCAAGTGGGTGGCAAAACGCTGCTCGCACAGTAAAGGCCGCGTGTTCACTGCTAAATAGATGTAAACTTTTTTTTTCTCGTTCAGGCTTTTTTCTTTTCTTCTTTTTCTCACCCGGAAGGTGTCAGCTTTATTTCGCGTCGGGATTTTCGCGGCTGGCGGTATTCGAACCCAGCGCCGCGGAAGCATAGCGGCGCTTCGCCGAGGCTTCGCCAGACCGCGAGGCTCCGCGAGGCTCCGCGAGCGCGCGCGCCACACTGCAACGCCCAGACTGGCGCCCGGCCCTTGGAAATGAAAACGTTTTCTAATTAGACTGCGGTTTGGTTCGGTCGGGTTCGTCTCTTTGGTCCTAATAATCCGGGCTCGGCCACTCTGGCCTCGCCGGCTCGGCGACAGCTGGCCTGGGTCACTTGATTTGGCCGTGCCGTCCTCCAGCCAGCCGGAGTGTGCGAGTTTCCAGTGCAGTTTGCGTCCACACTCACACACAGAGGCAAACGCACACGGACGGGCAGACCGCTCGCTCGCACTCGAACGCTGCACAAATCGACGGGCCCTCGCTTTGCATAACGGCGGGGCATCCCCCCCCCCTCCCCGGCATTCCCTCTTGAACCCTTATCACGCCGCGCGAGACGAGGGTCCGCTCCTCCATCAAGTGTCTCTGGTTATTAATAACCGGCGGCCGAGGCGGCGCGGTGAGGTAGGGAAGTCATCGGGCAGGCGGTGGCCTGCCCTGCAGGGGGGAGTCCTCTTGGAGGAGGCGGCGGTGGCGGCCACCCGGGAGGCTGCCGTCGCTCGTCTCGGCCTCGGTGATGGTCGTGGACGTGGAGGCACGGCGCGCGTCCATCCGTCCAGCCGCTGCCGGAACTGTCCAGGAGGAGGGCTCACTTGGCAGTCGCCGCTCGGGATGCTCGGTCGCTCGGTGGCGTAGCGCCGCACAGCGGATTTGCCAGAAGACCGGTGGAGGCGGCCAAAACCCAAGACGCATTTTGAGCTCCAGAGACGCCAAATGGGACTCGAACCGAACGCGTGACCCCACCAATGGATTCCTCGTTCGGAGAGCAATCCATTGGTGGGGTCACACGTTCGGTTCAAGTTCCATTAAGCGACTCTGGAGCTCAAAACGCGTCTAGAGTTTTGGCCGCCCCCACCGGTCCTCTGGTCCACTGTGCGCGGGCGTCTTGTATCGGCTCCAGCTCCGCCACTGGCTCCCGAGGGAGAGGGCTGACGGGCTGTCGACGCGTTCCTCTCGCTTGCCGGAAAGGGTGGAGGGCGCCCGGGCCTTTTTCTAATCGGGATTGCGAAATAATGGTTAAAAGCGGCGCCGGCGCCCAGCGCGCCCGGCCCCTCGGCCGGTGATTGGCTTTGCCTCGTTACCCGGCCGGCGGGGCGGCAGGCAGTCCGTCTCTCTCGCTCCCCTGCGGGCCGGCCCGTGAGTGCGAGAGAGACGGCGCGGCGACAGCGCTGTCCGGAGGCGGCCCCGCCTTCCCCGCTCTATTGGGCGGCCTTGATGGCGCGTCTCGACGAAATTAAAAATGCAGCTTGGTAAAATGGCAATTAGAGCTTCGAGTCCTTCGAGTGGCGTGCGCTTGCCGCGTTCCGCCGCGTGCGTCGGCGACTGCCTATCTCCGCCGGCATCGCGGCCAGCATTCGTCGCTCTGTCTCTCTCGCACTCACGGCTCGTTCCGTCTGGGTGCGACGGAGACAGAGCGAGTGCGTTATGGCGGCGCGGAATCCGAAAACGGGGTTGGGGGGTGGGGCGGAGTGGGGGGGGGGGGAGGGAATTGACTGGAGGGTTTCTGAAGCCTTTTGAGCGACGCGGGGGCACCGCGCTGGAAACATTCCTCTGTGCCCTGATTGGGGCCCCGCCACGCCCCGCCACGCCACGCCCCGCCACGCCACGCCCGTGCCAAGCCAAGAGGCGCCCCCACAGGTGGAGGGTCTCCAGGTGTACTGCCGTGTTGGCGCGAGGCGCAAGGCGCTTGGCGCGCCCCATCTGGGTCATCACCGAGAATGAGTCGAGCCTCATGCAAATTTTAAACTTGCAGGAGGAAGGCGGTTTGCAGCGCGCTAAAAGGGACCGTGACGCTGGAACCTCCGCACAGTGACGGGTTTAGAGTTTTGGCCGCCTCCACCGGTCCTCTGGCCCACTGTCCGTGGCGTGTTTGCCTCTTCGTCGGGCGGGTTCGCTTTACTTGAATTCTGACCGGCGGTTCGGCTGACGAGAGGTGTTGTACGCTCTCTCTCTCTCCACCTGGCAGGCGATATTTGCCTAGGTCGCCACACGCACCGTGTGTGCACACGGGGGCGGGGCGTGGCAGGGCACCTCAAAGGCTTTGTTTTCATTGTCGTCGGCGCTCCTCTGTTGTGAGGGGTCGCCCAGGCGGTCCACGCTGTGTCCACGCGACGCCCCGAAGTGGAAGTGGCTCTGGCAGATGACAGTGGAGTGGAGGGACAGCGCGGTCGAACGGGCTGCCCGGAATGAACAGCCCGTCGCTCTGCCAGTGTCGCTGACAGACGCGCCAACACGCGGAACGCGTCCGCTCGCGCTTCGCCGAAATGGAGAGCTCTCTTTACGCGGCGAGGTTCGGTCCAGGTGCCTTGTCCGCAAATGACGTACATTGGGGCGGCGATGATGATGTGTTGGGGAGTGGAATGCCTGGTCGGGACTCGCCTGCTGTCTGTCTACGCGGGGAATTCCATCCACCCCGCCGCACAGTGGGCCGCGTCTGGAGTTTTGGCCGCCTCCACCGGTCTTCTGGCCCACCGTGCGCTGTCTCTCTCGCTCCCTTGTGTTTTGCCGACCCAACGAGTCGCACTGTCGCACGGTTTTCTGACTTTCCTGTTTGTTTGTTTCAGGTGAGTGCACTACAGAACGCCATGCCGGCCCCCGTGGATGTAAGTATACTTCAACTTTGTTTTCGAGCGGTTTCGAACCGCTTGTCGTGAGCGTGACTAGAAACGGCGCGGACCCGAAATTTATCTAGGAATCTCGAATTAACAATAAAATAGGCGCTGTCTGTCGCTGGCCGCTGGCGGTGGCGCGCGGTGTGTCGAAACTGGATCGCCGGCAGCTGTCGCTCTGTCTCCCTCGCACTCGTGCGGCGGCCTGTAAGTGCGAGAGAGACGGCGCGGAATGAGTCTGCTGCTGTGTGGGCGCAGAGTGGCGCAGCCCGTTCCCGGAGTCGTCCATCACGCAATGCCATCTGGAATACACTCCGATCGCGTTCTTGTTTTATTCGTTGCGAAAATGACGCCCATTGTGTCCTCGGCTGTGTAATCCGCGCGCTGTCTCTCTCGCACTCGCGGGGCTCTCCATGTGGGTGCGAGAGAGTCAGGGCCGGTCTGGGCGGCAGACAGCGCTGGGACGCGCTGGCCGGCGGGCCTAGGCGGGGCAGGAGAGGAGGGGCGGGAGACAAGAACGCACGTGCGTGCCTGCCTGCCGGTCCCCGCGTCCCCCCAATCAAACTGATGCTGCAATCTCCATGCGATCGATCCGCCTCGCAGTGCGGGCAGCCGCTTCCCTCTTTGAGCCGACGCACACTGGATTTGCCAGGAGGCCGGTGGAGGCGAGACGCGTTTTGAGCTGCAGAGTTGCTGAATGAGCCTCGAACCGATCGTGTGACCCCACCAATGGATTCCTCGTTCGGATTACAATCCATTGGTGGGGTCACACGTTCGGTTCGAGTCCCATTTAGCGACTCTGGAGCTCCAAACGCGTCTAGAGTTTTGGCCGCCTCCATCGATCCTCTGACCCACTGTGCGGCGGCGACGCGAGGAGCAGGTAGTAGTGTGCTGGTTGGTCCAGGAGGACGCCTGCCTGCGCCGCGGTCCTTCGACTTGGCTCAAGGCTCTTCTCCTCCTCCTTCTTCTTCTTCTCTCTCTTTCTTTTGTTCGCTCCAATTTGCTCCCGTGCGGTGGAGCGAGGCGACGGATGGATGGGCGCGGACTCCGCGGCGCGGCGCGGCGCGGCGCTACCCCGCTGCCGAGAGACTCCTGGTTGTTTTGTGAGGCAACTTGCTGCACATTCGGCGTATCCACGCCGAATGGCTGGCTATCCCTCTTGGAGGATATTGGCCGAAACGAAGCGCGGGCCGCGCGGCCTGAACCTGCGCCAAGCGCGCAGCACCGGCCTTGACTCTGTTTAGCGGAGCGGTGAGATCCCGGGTTCGAATCCGCTCGGCGCCGCCCATTTTTTTCGCCTGCGGTTTTTGGCATGCTGCACGCGCGTCGGGGCCTCAGGCCCAGGGGAGTGACGGGCGTCGCGCTCGTCGCGCTGCCAGTGTGCCAGCGTCGGGCTGCCTCCGTCGTCGCTCTGTCTCTGTCGCACTCGTGGGACGCGCCATCGCTCTGGCGGTGCGAGCGAGACAGCGAGATCGCTCGGCAGCCAGCCTTTGGCCTGCCTTCGGCTTGGAGTCGCTCCAACGCGCTAAGCAGTCTCTGTTCCGTCTCTCTCTCTCTCTCTCTCTCTCTCTCTCTCTCTCTCTCTCTCTCTCTCTCTCTCTCTCTCTCTCTCTCTCTCTCTCTCTCTCTCTCTTTCGCGGCCGGCCGGTCAAAGTACTCGCGTGCATCTCATTGCGCATTGTGTGCCAGTCACCCTGCGCGGAATGAGACCAAGGGAGGCGGCCTTGTCTTTGTGTGTGTGTGTGTGTGTGTGTCCGTGTGGGTGAGACGGAGTGTGAAGGGGTGGCCAGCCAGAAGGGCAGTGGTTTGGAGGGTGTGGCCTGCCCGCGCCCGGCCCGCCCCACGCGCTGCGCTGGCCCCCCGCCCCGCCGCGCCCCGCCCCGCCCCATGCCGCGCGTGCCCCGCGTACCAGCTGTACCGCTATTAATAATGCCTACGCGACACAAAGCCGGGCGCGGCACGGCGGGCCGCGGCGCCCTGGCCCGCGCCCTGGCCCCGCGTCCGCCGCGTCAGCTGACCGCCAGAGCGTCGCGTCGTCGCGCGCATCGGCCGGCCCCGCTCATTAACAACGCATTGGTTCTTGGCTCGCGGCGAGGATGGATTTTTTTTGGCGAGCCGTGGGTCTCGGTGTTTCGAAGCGGGCTAGCCGACTGCGATTTCGAGAGTCGGTTTCGTCGCTGTGCCTCTCTCGCACACGTACGGCACGCCCCGTGAGTGCGAGAGAGCGACGGAAACGGCTGTCGGAATTCCCTCTCTACCGGCCGCCGCGCGCCGCGCGCGCCTCACGGTCTAGCCGCTGACAGCCCCCCTCCCCTCCCCTCCCGCGGCCCCTCCACCCCCTCCCCCGGAAACGCGGCAACGCGGCACTCGGACTTGTGCGTTTCGGCCAGAGAGCCTCAGAGCATCGCGCCGGCCAGGCGGGGCGCACGCATGCCTGCCCCTCTAACGTGGAAGTCACGCCGCGTGCCTCCGAACGGGGCGCCCCGTCCCACTCGCACTCACGCGGCGCCCCGTGAGGGTGCGACCGAGACAGAGCGAACCCAGCCCCGCCACACTCGGGACTCACTAATGGCCTCTTCCGAGATTTCTGCCACTCCGACGTGCACGGCCACACGACTCGACGAAAAAAGTCAGACGGCAAGGGAACCGTACAGAAACGACCGCCAAATTTAACTAAGTCCCTTTGGGTCATTTAGGTCCTTTAAGGCGCTAGGCCCTGGTGGTGCTTTGGGCCCTTTGGAAGGGATTGGGGCGGCATCAGGCCCTGCGGGCTGCAGCAGGTCTGTTGCCATGATTGCCTACCGCCTTAGGAACTCCATCGGCGGGGCGGGCCGCCTGCAAAGCGCTGCAAAGTGTACCCTCTGTGAGTATCTTTGCAAGTGCACTGCCAAGTCCGGCCACGGTCCGGCACTGCCGAGTTTGGCTGTTTGGGGCGGGGCGGGGCGGGGCGGGGCGGGGCGGGCCCCGAGGGTCACTGTGTGGTAATGGCCACCCACCTGTCCAAACTCCACTCCATAGCCATTCCACGGTCATTCCCCAACTGAAGGCAGCTTCATTCAGCAGTGAATTACCTTCCGGGTTCGGGGGGGGGGGGGGGTGCTTCACGGTGGGCCAGAAGACCGGTGGAGGCAGCCGAAATTCAACACGCGTTTTGAGCTCCAGAGTCGCTGTTGGTTTGTATCGAGGGCTGTTTCCCCGACGAAAAGACGCAGCGCTCGGAAGGGGAGGCTGGCGCATTGGTCGGACGCGTCTCTTTGAAGCCCCAGCGCCGCAGCCAGCCCTACTGGGGGAGCGCGGCGCGCAGTGTGCACACACAGCCTCTCTTTGAATGTTTCTATTTTTAGGCAGATGATCCAGACCAGGCGTGCTCCACGCGCTGAGAGCGCCACGCAGGTGGAACAGTACCCAGCCCCTCCGTGGTAATTGCAGCTCTCGGGCTACAGTCGGAGCAGTCTAAGGGGCCCCTTCCGAAAGAGGAAAAGGTGGACGGAAGCCATCGACATGGTTGGTTCGGGGGCGTGCCGCAAGGGCGGGCGGTAGGGCGAGCCGGGCCGCTGGCTTGCAAAGGCTGCGATGTGTGGCAAGGAACTTGGTGTACGCTCGCAACTTCGTCCTGCCAGATCAATATTCCACGAAGGTGGTGCCCTGGAGACTGATTCGGGGGCCGCTTCCGGCGCTCCGTCTCTCTCGCACGCACGGCGCGTCCCCTGTGGGCCCCTGTGGGTGCGACGGAGACACGGCGACGGAAACGACTCTCAGTCGCCCGGTGTTAAATCGCTAATGCGGTTTTTGTTCCTCTCGTCGAATTTGGAGCCAAGAGGCGGGCAGGTGGAGCAAGCGGCGGCAAATTGATTTTAAGTTGGCGGCGTGGTCACGTTTTCGATATCGACGCGCCGCATGCCCCAAATTGGCGGCACTGCTAATTATCTCGCAGAGCCGCAGGCTGCGTCCGCACAGTGGGCCAGAAGACCGGTGGAGGCGGCCAAAACTCTTGACGCTTTTTGAGCCCCCAGAGTCGCTGAACAGGACTCGAACCGGGCGTTCAACCCCGCCAATGGATTGCTCTCCGAACGAGGAATCCATTGGTGGGGTCACACGTTTGGTTTGAGTCCTGTTCAGCGACTCTGGTGCTCAAAACGCGTCTAGAATTTTGGCCGCCTCCACCGGTCTTCTGGCCCACTGTGGTCCGTTTTCCTTCTCGCCCCGCAGTGGCCTGCCTCTCTCCGCGCTGCCTCCGTATCTTTACTTAGCTTACAACCCCAGTCGGCCCGGCCAGGCTCCCCCTTAGTTCGACTGGGCGGGGCCGGCCGGCGAGCCTGCTCCAAACATTGTGCAGTATAAATAAAGCCGTCTGACGCGCGTCGTGCGCCGCGGAGCCGCGCAGCGAGGCCCCAAGGCGCGAAGGCCAAAATCTGCAGGGGGACCGTCCGGCAGCCACGATGCACCAGTAGGGCTAGTAGCGGAAGGGTTGCCAACCTCAGAGAAAGCCTATTGCCCAATCGGCAAGCTGGGGTTGGCAGCCCTCTCTGTAAAAATTTGAGCCGTCTTTTTTGATGACAATTTCTAGGCTAATTGTCCTTACAACAATGCCATCAAAACAAAGGATGACATTGTTGTCACGCCCTTGCCATAGGTAAAGGAACTTTGATGAAAATGTCATCAGTGTGTGATGAGATCATTTTAAAGTGATGAAACTATCATCCACGTTTTTGTCATCAAAAGACAACAAATTTTCACTGTGCTGGTGCTTCGCTTATTTGGGAGCACTGGGCGCCAGTGAGGCACAGACCCTTTCAGCCGGCTTTATTTGGACTGTGCAAAAGTTGAACTAGAAGCGGCCCCTTGGTGCGGGCGGGGGAAGTCGTCTCCTACTGCGAGTCGCGTTGGAAACGGGCGAGACTATTTTTCGCAGCGATTGGGGTCTGGGAACGTGTTACTCTGTGTTTGTCTCTGCAAAGGAGCGGAAATGCCTTCCCCCGCCCCCCACCCCGCCCCACGTCCGACCTCTTCTTCACTTGCAGCCGCCCCCCGGGAGGCGGGCACGCCCTGGGCACGCCGGGGGCTGCTTGCCTGCTTCGGCTTGCCTGCTGCTCGCCGGCGAAAGTAAACGGAATAAGAAATAAATAAAGAATGGTGCATTTGGCCGGGGCCGGCGAAGCGCCGTGCGGTTCGGAAGAGCCCTCTCGCTCGCACCCTTACGGGACGCCCCGTGAGTGCGACAGGGAGCGCCACTCTGCACCGCTCTGCACCGCTCTGCACCGCAGGCCCAGACCAGCAGCCCCTCCTCCGGCATGCGCGTCGAAATGAAAATGACAAACGAGCCCAACTATTTGGCGAATGCTTTGCGAAGGATGGTGCGTCTATGTGGCGCACTTCCTCCCCCACCCCCTTTTTCCAGTGGGGTGGGGGGTAAGTTCGGCCCTTGTTTCCGACGACGCTGAATTATGGGGCAGGGCAGTGTTAGTCGGCACGGTCATCGATTTGTTGTACTGCTGCCCTTGCCTGGCCCATTAGCAACAACATCAACAACCACCGAGAGCAGCGCCGAACCTCGCTGCATCGGCTCCTGAGTGAGCACACTGCTAACGTTGGCTTTCTGTTTTCCCCAGGTGAGTATGCCGACCGCCGTTCCAGACCCCAGTGCAGTAGCACAAGTGAGTACTGTGTCCGTCTGCCTGCAGCATGGCATGCGCATGTGCGACCGAGCGTGGAATACAGTACTTGCAACTTACAGTTAAGCAAAACGGATGCCATGACTGATGTCATGAGTGGGACTTCGGAACCAAATTAAAAATCATCTAAAAATTTTGAAGGAATATACAACGCATTAAAAATATGCACTTCAATGTTAAAAAAATTCTTTGAAATTTCCAAAATTGATATTTTTTTTGAGGGGGAGTTTTAAAGTTTTTTGTCGAAATTTAAAATTGACGATATTAACCGCAACGTGGGGGTTGTCTGTGCCCCACTCCACCCCCGGCCGAGAGTGACGGGAGGCGTAATCCGGGCGGGTTGAATGGGGGTGTTTTGCGGCGCTGCACTGCCGGGCCTGCCCTGCGAATGATGGATGTGTTGCCATGGCGACCATCTGCACCTTTATTGTGCTGCCGGTAACGAGGCGTGCCGTGGCGTGCCTGCATCGCTGTAATTCACGACGCCCTTTGACACTCCGTCTCTCTCTCTCTCTCTCTCTCTCTCTTCTCTCTCTCTCTCTCTCTCTCTCTCGACTGTTCGGAAGGACTGGGCTGCGCGGTGCAGGCGATGCACTGCTGCGGTGCCGCGGGGTGCACGCGTCTGCCCCCGCCCAGTGCCCCTCGCGCCGCCACTGCTAAATGCATCTCGTCGCGTCGTCGCCAAGAGCATTAGCCCGATTACCAATCGAAGCGCCCGGCGCGTCCTGGCTGCAATACTCTTGCGCAAGCCCCGGCTGCCCCCGCCGCCCCCACCCCTACTACCTCTGGCCTTTGCCGACACCCCCTGCACTGCGCATTGCTGCGCCCCCTCCCCCCCCACACCCCCGCCCCTCGCACCCCCCGACCGCTTCCGCCTTGGTTGCGGCTGCCTCCACATATTATACACCTCGGGGGGCGTTTTATTATATTCCCTCCTCTTGAAATTTCGTCTCGCAGGTACGCGACCACTCACTTCACTTCTCTCTCTCTCTCTTTGTCCAAATTGTGTGCCGCAGGGACGCAATACCTGTCGCGTCCACCACACTGCTTTCACAGTACGGCATTGGCGACGGGGAGTGCACTTACGTGCGTGCGTGCTGATAGCTATAAAAGCAAAAATCAACGAAAAATTAAAATATTTTTGTTTTGTTTAGTGTGGGGCTGCGCTTTTTCGTCGTGTGTGCAATGTGGGCCGTCATGCAAATGACGGTAAAGTCGCGCTAGATAATATGCAAATGCAAAGTGGCCGGGCGGGCAGGCAGGCAGGCAGGCCCGAGGCGTGTCGCACCGTTCAATGCGTGCGTCGCGTGGCTTTTCTTGGTGCTACACCGGACTCCCTACACTCGTTTCCAAGCCAGGGGCGGAAGGAAAAGGGGGGGGGGTCACGGTCGCAAAAAAGGGGGCCAAGAAAAAATAAAATAAAACTTGAGGCTTGATAATCCACCTGGCTGGCCGCGCTGCGGGTAGCCGCGCGACGCGTCGGGCCGCACGCAAAGCCACTTGTCGCGCGCTGTGGTCGACTCGCTCTGTCTCTCTCGCACTCGTGGGGCGTGCCGGCGTGCCGCTCGGGTGCGAGAGAGACGGCACCGCGCCGCTCCGAGGCGGTCTGCAATCTCCTTTGTGGCGGCCACGCACACTTCGGGATTGTTAACGATCTGTCGGGGCTGTAGGCAGTTAAAAATATAAAATGTCGTTACTCAAAAAAAATCGTCATTGAAAAAAAAACACAACAGAGGGCGCTATCATGTTAAGAGGGTGACTGTTTGATTTTTCAGTGCAGTATCAAGATGAAAGGGTGACTTTCCACTGGTGACCCGCTCCCCTGTTCATTACAGTGTAGCCATATTGAGACTGGTCCATCAATCTGTTTTTGTTGTTGTTTTTGTTGCTAGTTGCGAGGGTGTGCGAGGGTGTGTGAGGGTGTGCTGGGCCGTGCCAGTGAGTGAGGGGTGAAAGCTGTGCCGTCCGTGCCGTGCGGGCTGCCGCCGCTGCCGGTCTGCCGGGCTGGCTGTGTCGGGGTTTGGTCTGTCGTTATCAGGCCAAGTCATCGCTCAGGGCCGCGGCCCGGCAGCCCACACTGGCCGTGCTGGCCCAGTGCTGGCCCACTGCTGGCCCGGCCAGCCATACATCACCGATCCACGCTGGACCACTCTATCCGCCGCACTCCATCCGTTACCGTGGCGCAGCCTTGGCGCAGCCTTGGCGCAGCCTTGGCGCAGCACACGCCGTTTCTCAACTTTGGGAGCGGCCGGCGCGGCTCGCGGTGCACCTCCTTGCACGCGTCCATGCTCTGGCCCAATTGTACTCGAACAGAACGTGTGACCCCACCAATGGATTCCTCGTTCGGAGAGCAATCCATTGGTGGGGTCACACGTTCAGTTCGAGTCCCATTTAGTGACAGTGGAACCCAAAACGCGTTTCGAGTTTTGGCCGCCTGCACTGGGCCACTGTGCGGCCCTTTGGTTTCCCAGCCTGATTGCAGGCCATTCAGCAGCAACCACAGCCCGGGCTGTCGCGAGCGAGGCGTGTGGGCGGCGAGGCCACACTGGAAAGGCCGACCGCCCCGGCGACAGACGAACCCTTAAAAGTTGGGCCGATGTTGGGACTCGGGAGACCAACTGTTGACCCGCAGGCCGCAGGTTCGCCGCGGCCGGACGCTGCCGTCGACTCTCTGTCTCTCTCGCTCGCTCGGCCCCTCAGCCCATTGTAAGCCGCGGCCCGAATATAGACGCGCGTCGAAGGATTTACGCGCAGGCTGGCTCATTTCGCACGCTCTCTGTCTCTCTCTGGCTCCCCCCCCCCCCCCCCCCCCCCCCCGCGAGTGCGAGAGTGACAGAGTGACGAGCCTGCATGTTTGGGGAAGTACGGCCGATGCACGTGTGACACGCCGGCATCGACTGTGAGGTTTATGGCGTTCATGGACGGGCTATCGGTTTGGGGCGAGAAGGGTGAGGGGCAGAGAGAAGGGCACATCACCGGGGGAGGCATCAGGGAAACGTACGGCTCGGCCGAGAAAAGTTGACTGGACGCGTTACACCGGAAATGGATTGCGTTTTCCGGCGTTACAGAAAACACTTGTTTTCTTTTTTTGCAGTGGCGTTCCCGGAGGGAAACTGCTTGTGAATAAAGTCACGAACGTATGACGTCTGTCATTTTGGGCGCATTATCGTTCGTCTCTTCCTCTCTCTCTTTTTTTTCTTTTCCCTCTGCCTCATCCCTTGGCCCAGCCAGACAGGTTTCGTGACGATGGCAACACATGCCGAACGTGCTGTCGGGGCGTCATGTTCGATTGGGTCGCCCCTCTCGCGCCCTCTCGCTCACTCCCCCTGCGCCGCCGCGCTCTGCCGTCCTTGTCTCGCAGCGAGAGGGACGAGGGAGGAAGCAGCCAGGTGATACAGCGGCAACGAAACGAACCCCGCCGAGGCGCGCCCAGAGTCGTTCTCGTTGCACTGTCTCTCTCGCACCTACACGGGACGCCCCATGAGTGCGAGAGAGACAGAGCGAGACTCTCGGAAGCAGGAGGGTGGGACGGGGCTCCGCTAGCGCTGTCAGTCTGAATCAGTTATTGCCGCCGCTGCTGAGCGGGGCTGGGCTGGCGGCCCGTCTTTGCAGTGCATCAGGCACTTTGATGTCGCGCGGGACTCGGAATATGTGCGGCCCCAGGAGGCCCAGGGCGGCCCGAATGGATGCGCGGTCGTGAAGAAGCCGAGAATCACCCGACGGAAGCATCAAAAACGGCTGCCGCCTGTGTCAAAGTCGACAAATCGGAGGGCGAGAGTGCTTTGACGACACACAGTGGGCCAGAAGCCCGGTGAAGGCGGGCAAAACTCAAGACGCTTGCCGCCTCCACCGGTATTCAGGCCCACTGTGCGAGGTCGAAAAGTCGCTGGCCGTGATGTGTGGTGCTCGACCGGGTCCGGCAAACAGTGCGCCAACTTTTTGGGCCCGCACTAATCGAGTCATCGAGTTGAGGCGCACGTGCGACTCTATCGGATTGCGGACTTGTTGGCCAGCACCGAGACAAGGGACAAGTTAGGCGCCGCGCGTGGCGTGCACCAACCCCGACCCAACACACCAGCAAACTTTTGCCTCAGTGCTTTCCAATGGGGCGCGTTCGGTATTTACGTCGGAAGCCTGCTGCACTGCAGGATGTTTGGTGAGTCATGGGTCTGCCCCGCCGCACCGCCGCCACCGCCTTGTTCGCCTGGCTTACAGTGCGTTCTGGTGCGGAGCGTAGGGCAGCATGATGCCGCACACGATGTCGGCGGGGTTCTGCTCCGGCTGGCTGCGGCACGGCACGGCGCCGCGGTGTGTGACTAGTTGCCCCAGTTGCTAATGGCGGGGTGTTTAGGTCTGAACCAGCTCGCCAGAACGCGGAAATTCTTATCATCCGAACGGGACTCGCTGGAGGAGCGGCAGCAGCTCATTTCGCGTCATGTTCTTCCGCGCACAGACCGGTGGAGGCGGCCAAAAACTCAAGACGCGTTTTGAGCTCCAGAGTCGCTAAATAGGACTCGAACCGAACGTGTGACCCCACCAATGGATTGCTCTCCGAACGAGGAATCCATTGGTGGGGTCACCCGTTCGGTTCGAGTCCTGTTTAGCGACTCTGGAGCTCAAAACGCGTCTAGAATTTTGGCCGCCTCCACCGTCTTCTGGCCCACTGTTCAGCTGTGGCTCCGCCACTGGCGCCTGGTGCGCGTCATCGCCGGCTTAAGCGCCGAACTTGGAGGCCGTTACGTGGTTTGTGCACGGCGGGCGACGCCTTGGCGACCCGGACGCGCCGAAGCACGGCCGAAGCACGCTGAAGCCCGGAGCCATTAAACGCCTGTCCATTAGGCCCCAGCTGCAGACGCGGCTCCGAGCCGCCAGGACGCCACCTGCAGCGGCCGTTATCTTCTTTGAGAAGAAACTTTGGGGCGTTGCGGCGTTAGCGCGGTGACCCGCTGCCCCCGCGGAGCAGCGCGCGGCTAAACGGCTGC